GAGTTTACCTTGAAAGGCTCACTGCTATGACTGTTGGGTTTTTTTATTGTGTCTAATGGCCCCAGTGTTTTCTAATGTGTGAAATTCAGAACAGTGGACGTGATAAACCTTTGTCACCACCACAGAGGATTTTAAGCAAACAAGATGTGATTGAAGGGCAGACTTAGCTCAAGTTTTGCAGATGAAAGACGTGGAGCTTATTCCAAGTGTTTAACAAAATCTTAAGGAGGCAGGCGTATTATTGTGAAGAGTCTATAATCAAGAGACGTCTTCATAAATGGGAATGCAGAGGATTTACAACAAGGAGCAATAAGAAGGCCAGATTAGTCTTTGCTAGAAAACATCTAAAGGAGCCTGCACTTGTCAGATTAGCAGAGGCTGCTGTGTTGTCCAAACACAGTTACATACATGAAAATGATGTGAAACAGGAAGGTAACGTGCACGGTGCTCAGCAAAGCCATGATCTGTATAAAGTTTTTCTAACACGGATTTAATAATAATAATAGATTGCATTTATATTTATTTACAATACCACTATTCATTCACTCTCACATTCACACACTGGTGGAGGGAAGCTACAGTTGTAGCCACAGCTGCCCTGGGGCAGACTGACATATCGCGCCGTCGGCCCCTCTGGCCATCACCAGTAGGCGGTAGGTGAAGTGTCTTGCCCAAGGACACAACAACCAAGACAGACAGAGCTGGGGATCGAACCGGCGACCTTCCGGTTACAAGATGAGCTTCCCAACCCCCTGAACCCCCCTGGTCGCCCAATTTAAGTAATTGAGTATTTAAGATCACAAAATGAGTGCCCACAGTCACAGTCTCCATCTTTTCTCTCGCTGTCACTAATGCAGACGTACGAGGACCAGCACAGCAGCGAGGAGGAGGAGGAAGAGGAGGAGGAGAGCGAGGACGGCGAGGAAGAAGATGACATCACGAGCGCTGAGTCAGAGAGCAGCGAAGACGAGGAGGGCGGCGAGCCGGAGGACCAGCAGGGGGCCAGCAGACAGCAGCAGCTGGAGTGGGACGACTCCACCCTCACCTACTAAACACACACAAGACACCCAAACAAGAGCTCCCGACACACACATCAGAAACTCACTCATACTCCCTCCCTCACACACACACTCACAAACACAGCACTCCCTGCAGTTTCATGTCTAGGAGCCATGATGTAAAAACTTAACAAAAATAAAAAAAATCAAGAAAAGGAGAAACATAAAGTCCCTTCAGCGTATATATGGTCAAGGTTTTCCTGTTGTTATCTTAGTGGTGGTACTCAGTGTAGTGTAGTCATCACCAGATTGCTGACTTTTTTTTATTTATTATATTTTAATTCCCAGGAAAACCTGGCTTACATTGGAACTGTGTGAGGAAGCCAACCCTGCACTTTGTTTTCTCTCAGATGTACGGCTTTGAAGAGCAGAGTAATCGCTTCTCCTGATGTATATTCTTTGCTAATGCTTGTAGATTAATTCGCTAAACTCACAACTAGCTCCGACTTGGGTTTTCTTGACTTGTAGTCCACAGTGAATCGAAAATGATGCTTTTAACAAGTAGACTGCATTTTCCTCTTCCATTTCTTTTTTGTTTTTTTGTTTTTCTTTTTAGTGCATGGAGAAATTTTGGGGAAGTCATGTGTAGAGAAATAAATTGCTTTTTAAAGATTTTTGTAAATATAATGAAACCATGTAATTAGTCAATGTGTTAGTGAAGACCTAATCAATGGGGTCCAATATCTACGATTATGTAATGTAGACTATTTGTGTCACACAGGCTGTCGCAGCATGCCGCTGAATTTCTGCAAAAGCTGTTCCATCACGCTTGTACAAAATGTCTCGCTTCATGATGCGAAACCGAGGACTGTTCAGCGGTTTCCATGACAAAAAGGTGTCCATTTCGTCCCTTTTCTTTAATCTTTTGCGAGGAGTAAAGTAGTTTCTTTTGCTTTCTCAGAGGGCTTAGTTGACGGTTTCAGCTTCACATGATGCTTTTGCTTCGCTTGCGCGCGTGGCAACGCTCTACTCCTGGCTTTAGTGTTGTTTCATTCCCAGCAGATCTCACTGATGTACACTACAGAGGGAATCTTCTTTCAGTTTCAGAAAATGTCGTGTGGAATCACAAAGATCGGCTCAGCAGTGCCGTTCGTGGTGAAAATAAGGGTACTAAAATGTCCTCAGCAGCTTTAAAACCTTTGTCCCTGTCCCAGTCCCTGTTGTGGTTCAAGGAGAAACCCTTTCAAGCTACTGAAAGAAAATGTTTATGAGCTTTAGTGGAGACTGGCTGAATCGTTGAATTGCTGGCAATGTTTTATTTTTTTTTTCTGTTCATGGCACGGCTATTTTACCTAAAATAATACTACATAGCCTGTATGAGGTACATTTTAAACTGTTTGCTGCTTCAGCAGGAAAACACTTTAAAAATGAATCTTTGAATCTTAAAGTGAGATATTTTTTTGCAGTAGACCACTAGATTTTATTGTACATGAAACTGTACTGTAGAGTTGTTCAAAGATATTTGTTTACATTTGGTAAACTTATTTTCCTTCGGGTATTAGTATGAAGCTTACGATTGGGAAAGTGTGTCCGACCTCTTGTCTCCTCTCAGACACTGTTGTCCATAACTTGTATATATAATCTTTCACCAGACCAGATAAAAACGTGCCGTCACACTGAACGATTTTAATGTTCGTCTTTTATGGGGGGGGTACAGAGTAAAATATAAGCGTTTCCCAAACCTGCATTTATTACGACCATGTTTGGGGCTTTGGATTGTGCAGAAAATGGCATTATCGGGATTGGAAAAGTCTATGCGTGCAAATCCGTTTTCAGAGGCCAAAATTAATTAAAAACACCTTCAACGCTTATTATTATTGTTGATGTAAAAAGTTTCCAGGCTACTTTTGTTTTCAGCTCAGTGAATCAATTTGATTTATTTGATTTTCTTTAATAGGTGTGCATTTGAAACGTAGTGAACAGTCTCCCTTCCATGATGACTTTGGCTTGTTTTAAAAAAAATAATAAAAAAAATAAAAAATTATAAAGGGGGGGGGCGCCAGGTCTGAGCCGGCTGAGATGGGAGTGCCTTTTGCCGATCATAGCGTAATTAGCTGGTCTAACAAACACACTTATCCGTGCTCTTTAATTTTTATTTTTAATGCTAGATTTCTTTCGTAGCTGGGGAGACGTTTTCTCTCAGTTTGTCGCGATAATAGGCCGACGCTAGTTTTATTACAGGTGAAAACATTTTACGTAGATGTCACGTGTCCTTGTTGATGTGTAGAGGAGTAGATCCACATTGTATCTTCTATAGATATTGTACTTAAAAATCATATTGACGGAATCCACCTTTAAAAGATGTACATTATGAAATTGCTTTGGCAGCATACAGCGTGTATACTGACCTATTTGTGTATAGTGGAAGGTGAGTTTCTTTTTTTCTTTTTAACAGTGTCCTGTTGCTTGAGCTGTTGAGAAACAATTTTTTTTTAAATTTTTTTTTTTTTGAGGGCAGCATGAAATTTCACAAGAGTATATATGCCTGTCGGTGACGCAATTCTCACGGTTTCATTGTGTCAAACACTTCATGTCCACATTTCAGCTACAGTTGAAAGGTTCACTAGCATCTCGTTTGCTTTCTGGTGCGCCCCCAATGAATGTCACTGCCTAACAATCTGAAATGCAACCATACTGTAACGACATCAAGATGAAGTAAGGAAGGGTGGGTGGATGGACAGGTGGGTGGGGGTATATTGACTTTGCATGAACCACAAGTGTGTGTGTGTACGCTCCACGTGGGCCTATGAGACCGGAGTGAGAAAGGAGACGTGATACACTACTGATTCTCAGATTGTCTGTTTCACACATCCATGACACTCAAGAAATTTTTTTTTCTCTTTGTTTTAAAATCTGCTCAAAATGGACGGTGACGGTGTTTTCAGCGTGGTTGGATGTTTCCGTTGTGCTTGTTGGAGCTGCTCTCTTTTCTACCAGTTGAAAGGCAAATGTAGTGAGGTTGATGCTTGCTCGTAAACAAAATAAAGGAAGATGAGATGGGGTATAACTTCTGTCTGCTCTTGTTTTCCTTCATTGTATTCTCTAGTGTAAACATGGTGCCGGTGCACAGCATGGGAACACACCCTGGGTGGTGCTGTGAGTCTTTTTTTTTTTTTTTTGTAAATATTGAGCACTGTTGCCCTCTGGTGGTGAAACTGAGATCTGCTACAGCTCCACGATAAAATCTAGAGCTGGTGGATTTATTATGCTCCTTTTCAACTCCATGCTTTTATTCGTGCGCTCTACCAGGGCTGCTTTGCATGATTCACATTTCAAACTGTGTATAGTAGAACCACCAGTAATACCAGTAAGGCCTTAATGCTTGGGTATATTTCTCAGTTCCCTTTCTTAGAATTGGCTGCCCCTCAAAAACGGGTTTGAACAGCAGGTGGGTGGGTGATACCCACTCTCAGTGACATCATACAGAGACAAGAGTTGAAAACTGTCTCAAGTGAACCATGAGAGCAGTTTGAAGCTTTAGGCACTCCGGGACAACACGTATGTTTGCCAATCTCATTATTTCAGACTTTGGCCATGTTTAAAATGAGCATCCACGAATGTAACAGTGTATACACTCATGAGATACTTTATTAGATTTGACTTGCTAGTATCAAGTTGGACCCTCCTTGCCTTCAGAATTACCTTAATTCTTTCGGCAAAGATTCAAGACGGATACACGGTGGTCATAAAGTGACGGACATGGCCTGCAGTAACACTCAGGTAAGCTGTGGTGTTTATTTGATGCCCAAAATGTGTGAAGAAAATATCCCCCACACCATTACACCACCAGCAGCAGCCCAATCAGATCCATGCTTTTATACTGTTCACGATACTGTTTGACCATGCTAACATGCCTACATGCAATGTGATTGGCTGATAAAATATTAATGCTGATGAGCAGCTGAACAGGTGTACATGGCGGGAAATAAAACATGAAGCCTGTTGTTAGTTTTCTTTTTACTCACATTAAAAGTAGCAAGAATATCAAGATTAATGCTGTAAACATTGTGACATTCACTTCTACACAGACTCTGATGCGAGTTTAAAAACTATCAAACTTCATCACTGTCAACATGAAACTACAGTCATCAGTTTGAAGGGAGTTGCATGATAATAAATGCATAAAGGACTCATTAAAATAATGGAAACACCCAAGTGACACTGAATAGTGGTAAAGCGTCTCGATTCATTACTTCATCCTGTAAAATCTTTGTATTTTCTCTGTATTTTCTCCATGAACAGACCGAAGACCCACACTATTAATAAAACTTTATGATTCTCATATTGTTGGACGACGGCTGCTCTAATCCACCCTGCAGACTCAGCACATTTCAACTAAACTGGTGAAAGACTCATCGAGTTTTACTGAAGATATCAGACTCTACATCTCACCTGCACACAAGTGACGGCACAGTTTTAGCTGAAATAAAAATACACCCTGAAGGAAAACTGCATCCTAAAAACAGCACTGTTGAATATTGAAATTTTGGAATAAAGAATCACTGCACAAACCACAAGATCATAATAACAAACTGTCTGCGCCGTCCTCTACATTCACGCGCCTTTTAGCAAATCACAGGCTCGTACCTAAAATACATTTTTACACTTTATCTGGACGATTAAAAGACATTTACAAAGATTGACGTGTACATATAAAACAATACTGTTAAAAGTGTCAGCGTCTGCAGTAGCACTCAAAAGCGCACTGATTGTTTAGAAAATCCATAATCGGATGGCACATTTTTGTCTTCATTTTTTTTGCAGAACTGCTATGACTTTGTTTTCACACCAGAGCTAGCTAAAGCCATTATTTTGTCTTCGGACCCTGAAAAAAGGAAAGCAAAATGAGGTCAACAGAAATATCTGTGAGAAAGTATCAGTTTTGTAGTAAAATCATCTTTATGCTCACCTTGGTTTGCAGTCACTTTTTCAAACTGGCTCAGGGTCGCTGTGGCGTTTTCAGTGAGGAACGTCTCGTCTTCTGGGGTGAGCTGTCACATAATTACAACATGAATGAAAGGAAAGATTTGAGGCAGCTAGTGAGGGCTGCATGACTGAAATGAATCATTTCAGACTTTACGTAGCACAAGCCGCTGAATCATCCTCAATTCTGTGGATAATCATGTGTGCTCTGAGTGCTCCTCACCTTCTCCCCCAGTTTTCTCAAGGCAGTGAGGATTTCCATTTTCTGCTGCGTGTACACGTCCCGTGACAGTTTTCCCACCATCACATCGCGGTCCATCTGCACAGTATGCCACACACCGGTCGGCAAATGAATCCACACATAAACACTGAGGTGTGACTGAACTCTGCTGTTGTGGTCAGAAATGTGTGTGCAATCATGGCAATTTGGGGCTTTTGATAATTTCTTTGAACTGTTCTTCCAGCAAACATCTTTCATGATATTAAGCAAGAAGAATTTTAAAACAAGTTTGAATTTTTTGGGGGATTTCCTCCAATCCACACAGGGTAAAATAATAGGTTTAAATATAGACATGCACTCACTTAAATCTTTCAATAAGTGGACAAAGTGGATGGAATAAGGAAGGATGAGGAATACCTCTAAATTCTTCAACTTCACCTCAAATGAACACAACACATGATCAGAGCAATAATCCCAAACACACATCAGAACTGGTTTCAGTTTGGATAAAACAGGCTAACATTAAGCTTTTGGAATGACCTTCCCAAAGCCCCGACCCCATTCTTGTTGAAAATGTATGGACTGCGTTTAAAAGTCGTGTCTGTGCCAGGAAACCGACCAATTTAAATGGATTCTGCCAACACTGCCGAGAAGATCGGTCAGATATGCAGCAAGAAGTATGCCAGAAGATTGTTGATGTTAAGCAAAAGTGGAGATGACAATTTAATCAAATATTAGTGGGAATGTATGGTTTAGAGAAAATCCAAATTAAATTCAATCTTGTGCACACAATTCATGTTTTTCCAAGTCATTAATACAGAAAGTAAAAATGAAACATCAAAGAAATCATTAAATGCCCCAAATTAACGTGATATTCATGCACATGATGAGGGTGTGTAAACTTCTTACCACAACTCTGTGTGTGTGTGTGTGTGTGTGTATATATATTATACAATATATATTTGACATTGCAAACCTCTGCCAGTCTGCTTCTCAGCTGTCCTGGCTGCTTCTTAGCAAAAAGTCGTATCACCTCCGGGGTTTTGAAGGCTTGGCTGATGGCAGCTTGGATCGCCTGATGAAGACAGAAACATCTGAACGTTCTGACATTTTACTAATCAACAGTTTTCTTAATCAATGTGCTATAACCTATTTAATGCACTCCTAATACACAGTAGTAGCACATTAATTGTCCATACCAGTTGCATCCCACTGAGTTCATCCACAAGTGTCATATCTCCTGACATTATTTTCTTCAAGGAGTCATTGAATTCACCCAGCTGCTCCAAAGTTTCCTTCTTTGTCTCTTCGTACTCTTCCTCATCCAGATCTTCTCTGGAATAAACAAATGAAGGAATCAAAACTGAGACACAACAAAAGAATAGAGAAGCATTTATTTACTCACTGTTTTTTTATTCTCTTTGTTATTCTTCAGGTACTGCATGCCAGATTTTCATATACAAAAGCACACAAGAGGAGTTTATTGTTTTTCTTTTTCTGTACTACACCTGCATTCCTCCAGGTCCTGAAGCTGCTGCATTAGTCTGTCAAGTTGTTCCTCCATATTTTGCCTCAATTTTCCAGTTTCTGATTTCCCTCGAGAGGCCATCTTCAGTTAAAATCCTATTTTTCCTACGGGAACTGAGAGAACTGGCACCAAACAACAGGTCACGTTAGGTTTTGTTGCTGATGTACTTCACAGATAACTCAAAGATGACCTAACGTGCTATTTCCACTCGATGAGAGCAGAGCTGTTAGTGAAAAAAAAAAACACAACACTTTATCGGATCTAACAGTCTCTTTGGCGACTACACTGATAAGATAAATGTATCTGTGTGTTGGAAGTTCATGCAAACAGTCCAAGTTGTTTTGTTAGCTAAACAGCTAGCGTACATGCTAAAGGAAAACATCTTACCGGGAATTTCTTTGTAAACAGCTGCAAATCAGCCTTAGTAGAATGTTAGCATTTGCTCAAGAGTTTGTCGTAAATTAAAGAAGGTAGCCGTTCTAGAGGAAAATTAAAAATAATTACTTAAAATACGGCTATAACACGTTTACTATTAGTCGAGACGTTTGGGATTTGGGGAATTTGTGATTGTGAACGCAGCACCACCAGAGCGGGTGCGGCTCACCGCTTCCTTGTCGATTGTGTCCAATCGGATTAGTGGATCTTACAGCGTAGTCCGTGACGTCAAAGAAGGAAGCAGGTGAAAGACAAATGGTATCTGTAGCTGTTTGTCTTGGTACTACAATGACTACATTATTTGACATTATATTAAAAACGCATAATTTGCTTTTAAGTTAAGCACCGAGTTCATGTTTTTGTCTGTTTAAGAATCTTGGACGTAAAAGGAGGCTCGCGCTGTGTGCTCAATAGATAAGCTAAAGTTAGCTACTTGTTATAGTCGAATGCTAACGTTTAACATAGATAAAGCGTCGAACTTTAGTTTTCTTTACGTTTGTAGTTCCACTTAATGAAGCTCACAGACTGTATTTAAACGAGGTTAAACTACTCTCTTGATACAAATATACTGTTTCCGCCCCCCACAAAGCGATTCTCGACATGTGATCAGCCAAGTCTTAATCAGTCTTCGTTTCTTCTCCTTGTTTGTGCAAACCCAGCTCCAGTATGAGCCATGGAGGGTCACAGTATAACCAAAGTGGTCCTGCTGGCCTGCGGGTCCTTCAACCCCATCACCAACATGCACATGAGGATGTTTGAACTGGCTCGAGATCACCTGGAAGACACAGGTTGAGTTACATGAAAATTGGATCTTTTAGTGTGATGCATCTCCACCTTTATCATCCATTCATTTTTTTTTTTTTTTAAATGAATGGATGATAGGTGCAAATGTGTGCATGAAGGGTTCTCTGTTTCTATATGTTACCCCTGCAACAGATTTGCAATGTACCCTGCAATCCTGAAATGGATAAATTGGAAGAAGATGGATAGATGTGCAAAAATTAAGTGAAAGGGGTAGCTTTGTCTTAAAAAGGGATTGTGAATTAGTACATTGGAGAGACAAGTGTTTTGGATAAAATTGTTATACCAAAAGCCCAGATACAAAATAGTTCAAGAAGGAATTATGCTTTTGTAAATTGATTAATATGACAGTACAGAAAAGCTGGCAGTGTTTTAATATTGCATTATTATATTATTAATAGACACTATTAGGTTGTGCCTCATACTTGATTTGGGAGTTTTATGCCAGATCCTCTTCCTGACCCAACCCCATTGGGACCCCTCCAGCTGGAATGACTTTGCATTTCACCACATATTTTGATTTGGCAGACCTGGGATCAAACCAGGGATCTTTTGTTTGTTAGGCTAATGTGTAAACCACAACACTATCGAGCTAGAACCAATTATTTATTCAGTAAATGCTGATTTCTTTGATTCTGTCTTTGTTTCGGCTGTGGCTGCCTGGATTCTATTCTGCTCAGTTTCCCGTGTGTCATTTCCCTTGTGCTCTCTTCCAACTTTCTTCTCTACTGTTCTGTCCAATAAAGTCTAATAATTCAAATATAATATTTTACCTGACCAGTACTTAAACACATGTCTTCTTTTGTGCGTAAGGTCAGTATAAGGTGGTGAGAGGAATCATCTCTCCAGTGGGTGATGCATATAAGAAAAAGGGCTTGATTGAAGCCTGCCACCGTCTGGAGATGACTCGATTGGCTACCGAAAGCTCAGACTGGGTTATGGTGGATTCCTGGGAGAGTTTGCAGCCAGAGTGGGTGGAAACGGCTAAAGTAGTTCGGTGAGTTGACATTTCTTGCGTCTGAGTGCTTTTGCTTTGCTTTAGATTTGATATGTGTGTGTGTGTGTGTGTTCTAGATAAATTAATTCTTAAAGTAACAAAATCCATTATAGAGGTTTGATTTAAACCTTAGGGATTAAAATTAAACTTGTGCAGGCTTAATTAGATATTAGATAGTTAACATCATTATGCCTCACATAAATGAAATCATTATTTAGAATCTTTGTTTTCCTGTGGCAGCAGGAAAAGGAAGAAATGCAAGGCAGGAAATGTGAGAGCCTTCACTGGTATGATACTTGATACATGTTATGATTTGCCGAATACTTCCCAGAACTTTGCAGGTGCAGTTCAAACAAGATAGAATCAGACAAAGTCAATCAAAATTCCTTAATTGTTTAAGTTGAAGGCTGAAATTATTAAATGCTGATGGTGAAAAGAATCTGAAATAAAACTGCAGCCTCACAGACTTGAAGAAAAAAACCCATAAAAGGCACAAAAACAGTTTAATAATGAGATCAAATGCATTTAGCATAACAAGAATTGGACTTTGGAGCACTATTTTGCTGACTGACAACTACCAATAGTAGCCTTTTTCCACTTTATAGCAAACTGTAAATAAAGTATACACTCAGCGTGGTTTTTACTTGATAAAAATCTTTGATTCCAATTTGTAAATTTACAGGCATCACTATGAGGAGCTTCTTGCAGCAGAGCAGAACATCGATGATGTGGACACGATCAAGTATGCAAAAAAGAGGCGCATAGAAGAGAATCATCACAAAGACAGAGGTATGTCATGCCATACATTTACCTCCCTGTCATTGTCTGTAACTTTTCTTGTCCATCAAACGAGCCATGCAACAAACGTAGTTGTCAGGATTTTCCTGTTTGCAGCTTAACTGACAAGAGAATGGGTTTAGGGTGTGGATACACAGGTGTGGTGTTAACAGCACGAGCTGAGCCTCTGGGGCATGGAAGGGAAAAATATGCATTATGGAAGCACTTGAATTTTTGCTGAAGGTGCATTGTAAAAGCTGGCAGGTTGAAGTGCATACTATGCTTTGCATTTAAGTTCTACTAGCATTGCTTAACCCTGTAAAGCTTGAACCATGAAGTGTAATTGCCAGAATATTCTGACAAAAAAATGTATTAAATATAAATTTTATCAGTTTGCATATATGAGTTATATGTGAGCTACAGTTGGCATTTTTGTGCAATGTATTACTTAAATACTTACTGTCCAATTTATTCAGGAAAAAAAATGGAAAACAGAAGATGCAGAGGTCACAAAATCTCATGTATCAAATACGTTACACTTGGCGTTACAGGGTTAAGATGTCAGCAGTTCAGTTTAAAACCAGTGCAGCAGAACTGAATATCTTCTTCTTTATTCTATGAATCACCCTCTTTCCTCATCAAAATTTCAACCCTGCAATGATCTGCAGTCCAACGTGACCACTGACAATTTATTAGGACATTTGGGTGTGTTCTTATTCGCAGCTAATGTAGGCAAGTTCCAGTAAGCGCACTTCTTTGTTATTCCACACCTTCAAACTCAACTGATGTAGAAGCTGAAATAAATAGAATTTGATTTCATGTGTGTCAATTCAGGCAGTTCCTGCGACAGTCACATATGCACTGTTCTGCCCCATGACAGATAGTGAATACACTAATGGTCCAAACTTTAAGAAGACCCCAATTCTTCCATTCTTTAAATTGAAATCCAAGCAGCTCAAGTCCAATGAATAGCTTAAAATAGTGTAATGTTACCTAAAACTAAAAAAAATACATATTTCAGAAATATACAACGGCCTTTTTTAGAGAACAGGAAATGGATTAAGAACTTAAACCTGTTCTGCAGCAAAGGAGGTTAATCAAGCTTTGACAGTTGGTCCTACCAACCTACTTTTGTACACCATTGAACAAGAAAAAACATGTTGAGTGTGACATCAACTTTTAAATATGAGGAGGAAGCGTGATGGTCTCGGGATGTTGGTGACATGTACAGATTTAGAGGCACCTTGAACCAATATGGTTCTGCATTGCCATGCAGTACCCTCTGGTATGCACCTAGTTGGTCAGGGGTTCATCCTACACCAAGATAAAAACCCAAAACATAAGTCCAAGCTGTGCCGGAACTACAGTAGGAAAAAGAAACAAGAATGGAATGGCCAGCACACTCTCCATCCTAAAAGTGCCATGCATTTATGGGAACTTCTGCAACACAGCTGGGAAAAACTTCCATCCATCCATTTTCTTCTCCTTATCCATGGCACGGTCGTGGGCACAGTAGCCTAAGCAAGGATGCCCAGACCTCCCTCTCTCCAGCCGCCACCTCCAGCTTATCCCGAGGAACACAGAGGCATTTCTAGGCCTCTGTGTCTCCAGCAGGTCCTGGGTCTGCCCCTGGGCCTCATTCTGGAGTTGGCCAGTAGGCATCCTTGCCAGATGCTTGAACCACCTCAACTGACTTCTTTCGATGTGGAGGAGTAGTGACTCTACTCTGAGCCATTCTCAGGTGGCTGAGCTCATTTTCGCCGCTTGTATCCGCGATCTCATTCTTTCAGTCACTACCCAGAGCTCGCGACCATAGTAGAGGACAGGGACGTCTGTTGACTGGTAAACAGAGAGCTTCACTTTCATGCGGCTGAACGGATGGATAGATGGCATTGTAGAGATAATGCCATGAGTGTTTTTAGCTGTTCTCTCTGCCAAAGGTGACTACTTTGATGAAACGTTTAGATTACATTTTGATTTATAAATGGATTCCATGGTTGTTCTATGCTTTAATCTCAACGAGACATTAAACTGCTTGAATTTCAATAAAAAACTGGAAGAATTGGGGTGTTCTAAAATTTTTGACCTGAAGCATATGCACAGTGTGGATTAGTTGACTCTTGGGTTGTGCTGACAGACTTGTTTCTCTGTGCTCAGATGACCTTCAGCTGATGTTGCTGTGCGGGGCTGACGTCCTCGAGTCTTTTGGGATTCCCAACATGTGGAAGCAGGAGGATATCGCAGAGATCGTGGGCCACCACGGTTTGGTTTGCATCACCCGCAGCAACAGCGATCCACACAAGTTCATCCACCAGTCAGACTTGCTGTGGAAGTATCGCAAGAACATCCATATCGTCCGCGAATGGGTGACTAACGACATCTCAGCCACTCATGTGCGGCGGTCGCTGCGGCGCGGCCAGAGCGTCAGATACCTTCTGCCAGACAGCGTCATTCACTACATCAAAGAGCACGGCCTGTACAGCTCTGAGAGCGAGCAGAAAAACGCAGATGTGGTTCTAGCGCCCCTCCAGAGGTACACGGGCGCTTCCTCAAGTTGAGGAAATTTGACTGTGAATTTAAAACAAAACACAAATTCACATAATTCAAGCTTCCGACAGTGCCTGCACTGAACAGGGGTCTTTTCTAAGAATGGGTGTGTTTCAGGTTGTTGAGTGAAGTGATTTAGTAACAGTTTCACTTTGCCAGAACTTTTTGTTTGCGTGTGTGGGAAAAATACACAAGATCACAAAATAACTGAGCAGCAGATCATATAGATGAACGGTCACATAAATGTGTTTCCAGCCAATCAAAGGATTTACATTCAACTGTGAAATGGTGAGCCGATGATGTTTTTTATTAGATGAAATATGGTGCATAGAGAATTAATTGAATCACACTTGTTTTACCAGTTATCCTTTCCATGTCTGGCTTCAGCGCACTCCTGTTAGTCAACATGTTTTTGTACCTAGAGCTGTATTTTTCCATGCTTTAAATACCCACTTCTGCAGATCTGATGATAAAGACGTGATATGTGATATTCTAGAAATAAACAGCACTTTGTTTACCACCTTGTGAGCCATTCATTGTTGCTTTTATCGCACAGATAAGAATCCTTAGAAAGTCCTAGCTTTGCTTTCATGATGAAAATGCTTATCTCGCAGGATTATCCTTACTTTTAGATTTCCAGTGAAATAACGAAACTTCAGCCAAATGAAGAGATGTGATTATAGTAATGGGGTTTAAAACTAGAATATAACAGAGAACATCATCATTAGTATCAGAATTGATCATTATTAGTAGTAGTATTTTAATAATAATAATAATTTTATTATGATTCGTTTTGAAAAACATTATTATTTCTACCAATTTACTCTGAGTATGTTTTAGCTAGCATCCCAAACTCCTCTGTGTTTTATTTAAGCAGTTAATACGTCTGCATTGTCTTTACGCACATTTCGAGCGTTGGCAGGGAAAAAACCCTGACGTGGTTTTCCCATGTCACAAGACACCCCGTCAGAAGAAGCAACAACAACACCCGAGTATTTGGATAAGTGCCCTGTGTTTCATTTATTTATTTTTTCCACACTTGACTTACATCAATCCTTTTCACACTGCATGCCAGATAATGCAAGAGTGTCACTATGTTCCTCATTGCACATAAAGGTGTGCCATTTTTACGTAAGCCCTGTTTGTAAGAAACAGAAGCTGTTTGATTCTGTTTATGTCTAGACTGGAATATTGAAATCCCTCTCCCTATAAAACTATTATATAAATATAAAACCTTCAATGAGATGAGCATGATTTTTTTTTTTCTCTGGGAATATGTAGATTGTTGAAACTCAGAGAGAGTCCAGTGCCACAGCAAATTCACACATAGTACAAAAACATTACAAAAAAAGATAAAGTGCCAGATAATGTATGCCTACCAGCTATTACACTACGAGATAAATACATATAATCACAATTTAAGATTTCTCTAACTGTGCAGTAAAAAGTATAGTGTGCAAATCGGTCAATATAACATTTACAGTCGTGAAAAATCAAGATTTCAACAGGACTGTGCAGCCCTTATTCCATGATTATTACCTATTATTATTATTATTATTATTATTATTATTATTATTACCTATATATATATTAGCTTGTAGAACCACCTTTAGAAACAATAACTTGGAAGTTACAACTTTCTGTTTGATTTTTCAGTCAAACAGAAAGTGACATGGTTGTGGAGGAACTTTGGTCCACTCTTCTATGGCTGTGCTGCCTTTTTCTATCTAGAGAGAAGAGGCTTTGTCCCGGTGATGATTCCAACGATTCCAGCTGCTCCTTGCTGCTGCTTACCTTCTTAATTCCTATCAAAGCAATTAGGGTGGACTTAGTTTGTGTACTTAGTCATGTAAAATCTCTTTTCACATGGCTGTATTTACTGCAGTTATATAACAGAAATAGAGTGACTGCTTTGCCATCATTGTACAAGTGATTAATTCTGAGTAACTTTTTGTTTTATTAAAAGAAAAGGATAAAAGCCTTTCGGTCCATCATTCAAATCCAAACACTGCTTCTGGATAACATGCACCATTAGGATTTGAATGCCATAAAGGCGTGATGCCTGGGGCAAATTTTCACAGCCATGTTTAAACTGAACTGTTGCACCAGTCTGACACGTCTGGCCTCTTCTTTACTCTGGAACAAATCAGTTCACCTCTCTCATCCTCAGGTGACAGGACACACCTGCCTCTGAGTCTCCCGATCTCATATAAACAGCATTTGCCTCAGCCTCCTCTCACCAGTCTGCACCTGACCAGCTCAGGATCACCTTGCACTTACACGCTTCCCAAAAGAAGGAAAAGTCAAGTCCGTCAGCATGCCTGCCAGCCTGAGTGGCAAATGGGAGATGATCAGCAATGTCAACTTTGACAACTACATGATTGCGCTGGGTAAGTCCGCGTGTTGTTTCCCTCCAGAGTATGTGCATTCACATCATTCAAAATGCACTTCTGTAGAAAAACACGGCAGCGGGGCTATTTATCATTCAACCTCTTTTTCCACTTTTCCAGGCATAAGCGCTTCCTTACGAAAAATTGCTGCAAAACTTACCTTAAAGAAAAAAATTGAGCGGCAGGAGGACCAGTTCATCGTCAAAACCACGAGCACTTTCCGAAACTACACGGTCACCTTCAAAGTGGGCCAGGAATTTAACGAGTTTACAAAGGGACTAGACAACAGACACCTGAAGGTGAATGGGAATGGCTAAAGTGTATCATAAATATCATAATTGGAAGGGTTTGTTTCATAGATAATTGATGTACTTTGAATATTATGCATGTTGAAAAACAAGTCGTGATTCACGCTTTTGCTTCTCTGTTACCTGTGCAGTCACTCGTGAGATGGGAGGGGAACAAACTAATATGTGAACAGACTGGAGAGAAGAAGAACAGGGGATGGGCTCACTGGATTGAAGATGACAAGCTTCATCTGGTAAGACTGTGAATTTGGACATTCTACATAATACACAGAATTTAAAAACTATGTATTATTGAACTCATTTTAATCTGTTATATTTAAATAAAATGTAATTATTAAAACTTTTCTGACCTTTTCTCCTTAGGAGCTGTTCTGTGAAGGACAAGTCTGCAAGCAGGTTTATAAGAACGTTTCAAAGACGAGAGAAGAAGAATGAAGAGTTGGAGGAGGATCTTGAGGTGGTCCAGAATTAGAAGGCTTTATGTAGTAGTAGTAGATCCATCAGTGTAAAACCCTGACTGTGAAACCCACCCCGAGAGTTGTGACTGGTGTCTTCCCCGTTGCTTATATACTCGGTTCAGGTGGAAACGTCTGTACTCTCAGGGTATGCATTTACACCACTAGATGGTATCGCTGCAATACTTTTGTCAGATGCTGGTCTGTCTGGTCCAGCAACCTGTCGGTGCGTGCCTCTATCCCAAACCGTCAATAATGTTTATAGCACCATTCAGCTGGCTGAAAAAATGTATTTTTTGTTAAATATTTAGAGCTATGAGAAAAAGGAGACACTGCTTGTGCTCTCCGTCGTGCATTTTGTTCAATGTTTCTGTAAATTTCTCATTCATGCAAGAACATTTATAACCAGTGTAACTGAAAGTTATTCATAGGATGTTTG